TACCTTAATACTAAACCTATACATATATGCACATAGATCTATTTCCACATCCTCATATATAAATATTTATATATGTACTTGCCTTTATTTAGACCTCCATAAACGCCTTTTTTGGCCTATAGGTTTTGTTGGTTAGTGCACCATTTTCCAAACTCTGCTCTTAGAATACTTGTTTCATGAACTGTTAACAGGTATTCTGTGCCAAAGAAGCTTCTGTGGTGAAATGTTTGACAATCATCTGGCTGCACTCCATACTGCAGCCTGTCCTCCGTCTCTTTCTCGATTACAACACAGACACTGAAGCAGGTGAAGTGTCCTTCCACACAGTCTGTGACAGTATCTTCCCTTTACTCTATGAATAACCATTAACATCTCTCAAACACACCTGGTAAATGTCAGGAGGTTAAAAAAAATCCCTTCCCCATTCTACATTCTGCAGGAGCCCTGCAGGCACAGTAAATTATGCATTGGACTGATAAGCCCAAAATGGGTGGTGGAGAAAAGATGTGCTTGTCTGCTCCAGTAAAGATGTACAGTCATTGAAACCACCTAAGGTACAGTTCTGCTCCTACAGGGACACAATGAGTAGGAACTGATTTGATGGCAGTGGGTGGGATTCTGATGCTATGGCACCCTTCATGGAGTGTGGTGAAACACTTGGCTGTTAATCTAAAAAAAACAGAAGAGTTTGAATCCACTTGTTCTGCAGCTGGCTCTGCAAGTAAATGAATCTCTATGGAGCAGTTCCACTCTGTCCTACAGGATCACTAGGAGACAAAATCCAAAAGAGTAGGTGTGGTTATTGTATTTTGGTGCTGGTAATTTTAAAATCAGGTTCCATTCTTTGGAGTGCAGGTGGGTGGGAAGGTGCACAGGGGTGAAATTTAAGTCACAGACCAAATTGATAGCAATGTTTCCTTAAACATTCCTTAAGATACCTTAAAATGTCCTTTCTTAAGAGTATTAACAAGCAGAATGTTTTCTTTAAAAATATATTTCATTGTATTTTTAATGAAAGTGTAAGGTAGCTTTTAAAAGAACATAATTTTAATTAAGGATGAAATGGGAATAAAGTAATCAAATTTGGTTTAAAATCACATTTGGTCACGCTGCTTTATACAGTAAAAATAAATATTGCAAATGCTTCAAAAATGAGGGGGAAAAGGTTTCTTGTATGTCCAGAAAGGAAGGGAGGCAGACAGAAAATTGGCACTCTCATACCTAAATTAAACTTTGTATGAAGCTTTCTTAAACAATTTTCATTTAAGTTTAGGAGACTCTGATGTTATTATTGGCGAGACATACATTAACGTCTTTCCCTGTCTTCAGACCATATCTAGTTCCTAAACAGATTTTTCCCCTTTGAAATCTCTCTCTCAGCAACTGTTCTCAATTAAGATGAACAAATTCTCAGTATTTCCTTTAAGGAGTTCTTTGAACAGCAGTCGTTATATTAATATGCATTAAAATATAACCAGCTTTTGTTGGTAAAGTGTCAGATTTTATTCTGGACATCATTCAAGCAATTTCTCTTTAGCCTGTATTATTAAGACTTCATAGATGTCATTTGCATGAAAAAGACATCTACAACTGCAGCTTTTGCTACATTCTTTGTGCATTCCAGTCCCTAGGGCATAACGAAATTCCGATGACAAATCCTAATTTACTACAATCAACT